ACTTGCAGACCTCCTGATCTCAAGCCGCGACATCCAATGAGGACCACTGCTCAAACACAACCAGAGACCAGAGTTCATATTTTGGATTAAGGCGGTAAACACCGAAATGCAGCAAGCATTCTTTGGGCTAAATAATGATACAAAACTGTGAATCTTCAAGTTCCCTCCCAGATGACTGAGTCCAAGAGGTTGTTCCTTAATCATCAGACTGCGTATAAAATATGGATAACATGATGTATAGAAGTATGACAGAAACCATAATCAGCATGAAGGTAACAGCAAAATGCAGCAAATCAAGAGACACAGAGATGTTACTCTTAATGGGGGCCTCATTAAATCAGCAGAGACCACCAAATGACACAGCATGACATGCTGTTAGACAAAGGAACAATTTTTAAATGGGGTTTAATAAAGAGATATTTTAAGAGAAATTGCACTATGTGACTGGCTGGGGAAAATAAAAAAACGAGACTGAGGACAAATTAGAGACAAGGTGGAATCCAGTCTGGTGGCATTTCAAATGTGGTTTAAAAATTTGAATAATGCCAGACACACAGAGAGTGCTTTCTCATGTTCATTTCTAAATGCTCTCAGTGAGGAGGAATGTGTTTGAACATTTGCTAAGTTTAATAAACAAAAAAAAAAACGACAAAAAAAAAAAACCTACCAGCCTTACACTGGGTCTGTCTTCTTAAGTTTCATTGCACTTTAATTTGTATTTGCTTGTCATTTCTGCAGTAAAATCAGAGCTCTATCTCCTTGAAACAAGTTTCAACTTTTGTTGTGTATGTTTTTCTCCAACTGTTTTTGGATTTCTGTTTCTCATGTTACATCACTTTGGTGTGAATGCCAGACTGTTTCTCATATCCAATAGTGCTTACAGTAGATCGTTCTGCTCCCACAGCTTGGTGCTAACCGAGTGGGGCTGTGACAGCATATGTGTGGGCTGTAAAACTGGAATGATAGTGGAACTGGGCATCTGTGTGTTCAATGATGCCATTATAGAAGACTATACCTCCCCCAGTTCGTATCTAAAGATGACACAACATATCATCACAGCCAGACTCACACATGTCACTCCTGTCTGCGGAGAGAATCGGCGCCACGTGAGATGAAATCATTATTGAAACATTTTATGCCGACATGTCACTAAACTAAGCCTTCACATGCCAGTACTGTCACTGCCCACAATGTACCCAGTCTCTTTGATTAGAGAAATAAAAAACCTGGATGCTTTGTAACGCACCGCTGTTCTTTGTATTACACTGCAATACTTCATGCATTTTATATTTTATATTTTACCATGGCCCATAAGAATTGTAACTTCATCTCAGTAAAAGTAACTACCTGCGTGCCTTTTCATAATGTTATAAACACACAGTTGAATAGGTTTCTGGAGTTAGGTCAGTGCATGAGAGCCCAGGTGCATCCATGATATGGGGATGCGCCAATTTGGCTCCAATTTCTGCTGTGACTATTGAACCAAGTGGATCTAACCTGACATCTCTCTTTCTCGCTCTCTCTCTGTTAGAGTGTGTGTGTGTGTGTGTGTGTGTGTGTGTGTGTGTGTGTGTGTGTGTGTGTGTGTGTGTGTGTGTGTGTGTGTGAGAGACAGAAAAAGAGTATGAAAAAGAGAAACAGAGGGAAATTCTGCCGGGGTTGTTAACTGGCTGCCTTGTATCATCAGAATAAATGGTCATTATAGGCCACACAGATGGAAAGTAAACATCTCTTCCCATGGCGTGATGGCAAACACAACAGCAGTCAGCCCCTCTATCTCTACACCCTTTTCATTCATGTATGTAATTATCAACCAACTGTGAGTGTCTCTCTCTCTGAAAATCTTTATCCACCTGTGCTTAATTAAATGTTACAATTTACTGGCCTTGGCATTTATCTAAATTACCCCGTCCATCAGCTAAATCAATACCTCCTATACTACTAACCAGCATCTCTGATGCATACGCTTGGGTCATGACCTGCATGGCCAGACTCTCTGACAGTTGTGGTGACACAGCTGCAGGGCAGAGAGAAATATCTGACTCCGGGGACTGAATGATATAGAATGCTTGGGCATATGTGTGTGTGTTTGTTTGTACGCTGAGACAGTATATGATGAGCAAGGCCTGAATTTCCATTTCCAAAGCTGTAGATGTTTTGAATATTTATACACAGACATAACATTGAAAATAGCATGTGAGAACAAAAGGAGATTACTCTCCTCCCCTATTAACTCAGCTCATAATAGCAGTGCTTTAAGTGCACCAAAATCATAGAACAGTAAAGCAAATATGACTGTGCTTTGCAAGTATATTAGTCATATTTACTAAACATAAATATAGCATAAAAACATAACCTACTTAATGACGTTTCCCCAGTTTGGCTTGTGAAAAGTTTGAGGTACAGTGGGGCCAGGGAATGTCATTGCAAAGAGAATATATTAAATATTACAGGAGACTTCCTCTCCATACTTTATTCAGGAGGGGTTGATGGTCTGCTCTTTGAGGAGTGCTGCGCAGCTGCTGGAGCATCTGTCAATTTCCTTAAGATGATTAACCTACTTGCCACAAATAAACACATGATGTTGTTTTCAAATCAGGCACATCTCATCTTCTGCGCATGTCACACTTAGGTGGGAGAAGATGCAATCAACTTTGATTGCCATAGTCAGATTTTAATAACCAACGTTTAAAAACTGGAACTAGACAATGGATGGCTGTCGTTCTGGGTGAATGAGTTTATAAGGCCACAAACATAAGAAAAAACTGCAATGGTTTACCATGGCTGTAGCCTGGTGGGACTATAAAAAGTGATAGTGCAGCATGTTCACTGCCTGTATGCCTGTGGAATAAATGTTCAGCGGGGAATTTGGGCTAATGCACCATGACAAGATGACAACTCTGCGAGCACCTGCTTTTTGCAACTGCACCTGCCACTCTCACTGGTGCTTGCTTTCATTCAGCTTTAATGCTAGACATTGTTTAATTGTAAATTGGATCAATTAACATATTGCTTTTCTGGATAAATATGTAAAGAAAAAATAGAGTATTTCAATGAGGATTATCTACATGATCTAGTTTAAGCAATATTTCCACAGTTTTTTTTAAATAAAATAATAATAAAATATTAGTCTTTCCATTTTCCAATAACAATAGCAATACAGTGTATTGTTAGAGAAATGCAGCTTAGGTGAAAGATATCTTTAGCATATACACACTTGAAAAAGGAAACTTGGCAGATGAGAAAGTGTCCTTGTGTCAGTCAAAAACAGAAGCCGTGCTGCTGAGGACACGTGCTACACTTTGCTCACGTCATTCACATCACAAACGTAGCCCTAACAAGCACTGATCTTACTCTCTGTGTGTTTCTGTGTTTTATTTTTCTATTTATTCATTTATTTATCTCGATATCTCTCTGCTCTCATGAGGTGACATTGAAAGAGATTTGAGACTTGCCATCCAAGCAATGTATGCATCTGTGTGTCTAAACAGATAGAGAGCGAGCCAGAGAGAGAGAGAGAGAGAGGAGAGGGAGAGATAATGTGAAGTGTAACAGCAGTTATCAAAGTAATTTATGAGACAGTGTGGGACAGGCTACCATTTTGTATTTTAGATTATGAACACATTTTTCTCATACATCCCCTCAAGGAGTCATTGGAAAGAAGTTACACCCACCAAAGCAGGAGCATTAGCATACTTATATAAGGATATTGAAATGGGTAATATAGCACCTTACATAGGACAGTGCAAACCCTGCAGTATACTCCTGCTGAATTGGTTTAAAAAATTAACTACATATATTATAGAAGAATTGTGTATGTTACCTTGATATAAGTATATCCTCTGGCATGGGTTGCTACTTAACCCAATTCAGTCAAACAATCAATTACTTACTTACTTACTAAGGAAACAGCAAAGTATACAATCAGATTTCTGGCTTGAAATTGGGTGATGACAGTATATTTATTTATTTACTGTTCAATTGGCTGGGCTGTGAGAGTCAGTACTCCTCTGATTTAAGCAGCAACAGACTGACGGGAGCCGTCCTTGGTGCTGATTGGTGCTTTCTAATGCATATGAAAGCAATGGAGTTGTCCAAGGTGCTGAAAGCGTGACAAAACGGGACTTGTGACTGCCGCTGATTTTTAGGATTCCAACTAGATCTGTAGGGCATATCAAGGCGCAGACACACACACACACACGCACACGCACACGCGCACACACTCACACACACACTTTTCCAACTGACTTTTTGTGATAGGAAAAGTCCTAGGGAAACATGATACAAACTTTCAGTCTTGACACTCATTCTGGGCATTGATACTGGTATTTAAAATCTTAAATGGTGCAATGGTGCAAAAAGTTTTTACACGCACAACAGCAGGTAATTGTTTTGTCACATTTTTAAGTGTCGTTTTATCATGTTAAAAAAAAATGTTTTATACTAACAGTCATCACGTGGTATACGCCAACCGTGTGCTGGCAGTAAAAAATGAAAACCACCATTTCTTCCTGTAGCAGCAAGCTAAGGCTTTTTCCCCCTGTTCTATGGAGCTCTGCTTCCGCTTGGTGAAACCACGCATGTGTTGATCCGTGCTGCAGCAACGTGCATCAGTTCCTCTCTGACCCCAGTGTTAATCTGCATTCAGACCGAGGCTCCACTGGTTTTCTCAGCTGCTCGATATTAGAGTAGCTTATTACGGGGGGTTTCGCCGTCTGTGGCAGTTTTTTAGGGCCCTGCTAGGCAGTCGATTCAGCAACAGACACGCAGCCTTAAAAAGAAAAAAAAACGAGCGATACGAAATCAAGCTTTCGACTCGCATCGATTTTGTTTTGGCTGATTTCACTCCACCGCACGTCCGCCTCGGGTCTAGATTTGCAGACCCGCTACCGCTAACGTGCGTAATGTATCGCAGAGAGGAAACACAGTAAATAGACGGACACGTCCATCTGCAAAAAAAAAAAAAAAAAAAAAAAAAAAAAAAAAAAGAGGAAACGAAGATGGTGATGATGGCTTCACCCAATTTAGCCTCCAAATGCTCGACAGCAATGGCGAAGCCTTCCCTCCCTATGAAGCTGTTCCTCTGGGTGTTTATTGTGGTTAATCTACCTACAAGGTAAGATATTAATGCGTAATATTTACTCTCAAAATCACGATTCTGTGTCGGCTGTGTTGGGTAGCGTGTGCCTTATTCTAACAACATCATTTTTGCTGTACCTCCCATCTAATGCTAACCCAGCCCTGCTGCTGGTGGGATCCTGATCTAGTTTTAGTAGAAAAACAAGGCATGTTATGCATCTATATAGCACACTTATAATTGTAGTTTGACGTGGAGGTTTGATATTATCTTTTTAAATGGATACAGCGACACATGCATCGCGTTACCGGGAGATTTATTTATTTATTTATTTTTACAGAAAACAAATTCTACAGATTGCTATAGATATTTGTGTGCGGCCGTCAGATGCTTTAACAAGGAAAGGGACATATTTAAGAAGAGATGATTTGTCCAGTATCCCTCACAATCTGCCCGGCGTTAGAAATAGCACAGTGGCAGGCTAAGTTGAGTGAAGCTAAGGCTACACATAGTCTCTGCTAAGCTGTCTTCAAGGATCAAGTCTATTCTCAGAGCCAAAGTCTCATTATTGGACGCATGTGTCGGATGTGGCCGAAGTGGAATAGATATATGCAAACGGTCGTTGGTAATAAAGACAACTTGGGTGTGAATGAGGGTACGTTTCATCCCACGTATTTGAAATAATAAAAAAAAGCATCTCAAAATGGCAGACAATCACACAGAGAATACAAGTGTAAAGGCACAATAAGGACAGGGATAACACATATGGACTGATCCTTGTCTTGCACACTCACACAACAGACACAAGACATCCATTTCAGCTGTAACTGAGGCGCAGGTTTGGGGTTTGTGAAGAGAAGCTGCTTGGTTGTACCCTGTCAAGACGTTATTCCCGTGTACTGAGATAAGAATAGTCAAGAGGAAGCGGATGGTTGGGCTCTTCGCATCTTTCGTCTTGTGCTGCTGGAGGGTGAAAAATGGAGGCAGATAAATCAGCCGACGTTCAATCACCGTCGTGGTGATCACAACCTCAGGGCTCCCTGCCCAGCCGATACATTGCCAGGCCTGTGCGTTTGTAATTGTATGCTCAAGTAGTGATCACAATATGCTTGAGTAAACACTACACCTTGTCCCATGGAATTGCATTGAGATCTATGGGCAGGCTATGGATGTTACAAGTTGTGCATGAGTGACTGAAGCATTATGAACAGAGGGAGATCAATGCAAGTGACATTTGGGTGCTTCTTGAATAATCATGCAAAAGCCAAATGTGAGCTCTTGATGTAAACACCTATGCAAAGGTCACATTTATGGCAGAGAACTTAGTGGTCCCCAAGTGACTGCAAGGTTTTTCCTCTTTTCACACACTTCATATGCAGTTCCTGCATCCTTTATACTAATTAAAAGACAGCGATTGCTGGGTAAGTTGCATTGGAAGTGATATGTGATTCATGTGCGGGACCTCTTACATAAGACATCTCACAAGGCCTCAGGCATGCTTTCAGTAATCTATGCTACTTTGTGACTCATTGACAGTTACTATGTGTAGTGATGCCTGACTGCGTCACCATACATTAACTCCAGTGCACAGGCAATTTCACATCAAAGGTATCCGCGGCATCCACGACACCCTCAAGAGGAAGTAGAGGAAAATTTGTTGCAAATGTTTTGGTTGTACTGTTCCATTGGTCGGGATAATGGGACAGCCATGACAGGGGGAGGAAGTGATGTCAGAGTGAGGAGGCTCTGGTTCTATGTTTTTATAGTTTGCTAGGTGATGTCTGCTGTTTGGCAAACTCGCCTCAAGCATTTCAGATGGCAGATGACGTAACCACAATTTGTGACACACTACAAAGTATTATTTTATTTTCCACGTTTATTTATCTAGCCTTAAGTGCACTCATGTTTTAATTCTCATTTCTAAGGTATTATTCTCAAAAAAAAAAAAAACTTCCACTGATCCACAAGCATCTTGATACACAACAATAATCACAACTGATCAAAGATTTGTAGTATCATTTTGAGCTTCTGTCAGTGAGGATGATGTGGAACAAATTTCATGACAATTTCATGAATTCAAGCCTGAGTTTCACCTGCCTCTTGTTGCATTCAAGTTATCCCTAATCTGCAAAACATCTCATCAAATGACCAGTGTTTATAAGCCAAAAACTCCAAAACCACAGTGCACTGGATTCAGACAAGCCCTCATATACCATCTGCCTCTTGTCATCGCTTAAAGAGGTTTGGGACATATAATTTTGATAAACTGTCACTCTGTCATGTATTCCATAATGACTATCATATACATTTATGTCTCAGATTTCCCAAAATGGAGTTGAGAGCAAGCAGATGTCAATCTTCTTCCTATGTGGGTTTGACAGGACAGTAGAAGATGACAGTCAAAGCTCATAGCTGCCTCTTGCTTACAATTTAGAGTCTGTCATATTCATCACCCAGGAGGTATTAAGGTCAGAGGGATTTCAGATTTCTGGGATAGAGTTGGGAGGCTTTGAATTAACAGCAGCGGTGATTATTCCCATTTATTCACAATAAACTTGAAGTAGGGTCATGGCTGTTGGCGCATAACATGCCTTGTTATTTCCAAGCTGAAAACATGGCCTATCTAAAGTCTTTTCACTATGGCCATCTCTCATGTCTCAGCCCTGATTTCTCTGTTTTTAGAGATAAGAGATTCTGTGGATAAATTTAGCGCTTACCCTTTCCAAAACGGTTTGTGACTTTCTTTAACAAGTCCACTGATGTTATGTTTCCCTCAGTGGAAATATACATGGCTTGTTTTTACATGGATATAATTTATTGCTGACTACAAACATTTACTGTTGCATTAGAGGTTGATCATCATAGTTCACTGCAATATCCCTTCTCTGACAACATGCCTTTTAAGTAATGTTACATGGCTTGTTAATAAGTTATCGATATTTTGTGTTGCCGTTAAGGGTTTGTTTAGATCATCTGTTAGTCAAACATTTAAGTTGTATATGTCAGGAACTTCACATTGAAATTGTCCAAGAAATTACTGATTGGGCCTTTACGATATTGACACCAATAGTAATGGGCCTAATCTCCTGTACTGTAGTAAACCACTGACAGAAACAAGTCGATTTAGCTAATCTCTGTGATCTGGATTAGACTGAAGTGAGTGAAGCCTGTAAATGAATGGGGTCTCTCTGCCAGAGAGCGGGCATACAAGGTCCAGGCGTGTCGCGGTTGCAGTCACGGTCCTGTATGTGGGCACCACAACCGCATATGCTCCTGTCTCGTTAAGCAGAGGAACAAATTTACACCCACTTCAAATGATTACGGTTTGTTAATTAGTAAAAAAGTGGCCATTGTGTTGTGTTATTTTCTTTTATTAAAGGCAGAGCGGGTGAAAGGGGCTTTGTAGCAGTAACTTGATGTGCAAGAGTGGTTTGTTGGGTAGTTGCCATAGGGGCAGGACCAATTTCGTGTTGGGTAATAATAAGCATGAGGGTTCATTAGATTAGGTTCCTTCATTAGCTACAGTATAAAACATGCAAAGATAATAGCTCAAGGGAACTTGAAGTGGATGCTAATGGTAAGCACATAGCTGCTTCCATAGCTGATATTGCCCTTATTTCCCCCCATAGACCTTCTTATGAATACGTAAAGCTGCAGAGGATGGGGGCAGCTCTGTGCTGTGTTACATGAAAGCTGAGATGTGATTTCAGCCGAGATCTGCTGAATAGTTGGGAAATGTTTTGACTGTTGCATATAGAGCAGATGAAAGTGCTTTCTTGATGATGTGACGGGTAGAATGCATGAAACTATCAGACTGTCCTCAATAAGGGCAGCTGTGAACACAACATTTAATTCCATTACTCTCCATCGCTACATACGCGAACATGGGCATACATATGCATGAAAAAACAAAACTCGAACGCGCACACAAACACACAACAGCACGCGCACATACAGCAAAGACGCACACGTACTGGCGCAGACCTCTCTGTGGACCTTCAGGTACTGAATTAGCAGGCAAAACCTCAGATCTGCCTGCAGTGGAGAACACATGGCTCTTCCTTTGATCTGCTCGTCTTTGGAGCTTTTCCATATGCACTGAGATACTCAGCAAGATGAATATAGATGGTTAAAACTGCAGCCACCTAAAAAAAAACTGAGATTTTCAGGGTCTCACATCCTTCTCTGCCTTCTTTATTATCCAGCTGTATGTCTGTGTCAAATACAGGTATTCCCTGGATATTTTTTTAATAACATCCAGTAAGGCATATCTAAAAGGGTCCACCAGAGTGAAATAATTAAGATTTAATGTTTTAGGCTCTAGTGTTATGATGGAGATGGATGGTACTTAATGGCACTTAATGAAGTCTAAGAAAGAGTGCTGGTCAAAACATTATTCCTCGCACCCAGCCTAAGAACATGAGAAAGCTATCAGGGCTTCTGTCCTTGTGCTTCACCATGGAAACAGTGTTTTGTTTTTTTTGTTTTTTTTTTTCTTTTTCCCCTCACCATTTCCATTTCCACCATTCTTTATTATTTCATTTAGAAGTCTCTTTTTCCTCTCATTGAAAGCTCACAACTGTTTCAAGGTTGCCCTTTTGTGCTGTTGGCCATCTCCCAGATCCAGAGCTGGATGGATTGAGGGTTTGACACAATCTGCTTTTCCATCACTTTTACTCTTCTGTCTCTGCCGTGTTTGTGATACATTCTGTGCCCAAACAAATCTGTGTTGTTCGTCAAGCAGCCGCAAACGCAGGTTTTCTGTAAACTGAGACACAACTTGCATGTAATTAGTAAAGTAGGCCTCTCATTAATGCATATGCATGTAAGGAAGATCGCACAAATCACTGGAGATATGAAATATATGGGTGATTGAAGATTCCATTGGATATTACCAAGGTTCTTACAATTTTCAGCCTTTATTTATTTATTTATTCATGTATTTATTCAGCATGGAAAATTATCTCCCTCCAAAGACCATGTGCACATTTACACTGGTCTATTAAGAGAAGGTTGTTGCAGAAAAAAATGAATTTTAATTATCTTGTATTTTATGGAAATCTTTAAAAATCTGCTTAAAACAAGTAAAAAAAATACATTAGAAAAACCACAAGAGCATTAAATGACCATATCTATCCATTATTTAACTAAAGACAACAGCTGAACCTAGGAGTTGAAAGTTGAACTTGACATTCACTGAGCCACCCTGGCTACACTGATAGAGCACCATACAACAACAAGGCGATTTAGGCTTTAAGACAAGATATCAAATAATAAGACTATATTAAAAGAAACATAAACAAGATTTTAAAAGAGTGCAACAATGTAGAAGATACAAAAAAAAAAGTTGAAATAGCATAATGAATATCCCAGTGCAGTTACAGTGCAGTGCAAGATTTGCGTGAATAATCCCCAAATTTGATTTTAATGAAATGCTATGGCAAACAGAAACATTTAAAGCTTTGATTTTAAAAGAATTGAGGTCTGGAGCAGGCCTCGTGTTTTCTGGGAGTCTGTTTCAAGTATCTGAGCTACAGTATGTGGTGCAGAGTTCTTGTTGTTTCATGTTTAGACAAGATAGATTTGGAGTAAAAATGTGTTTTTTTCTTACAAGAAATCTGTTGTTTCAAAACAGAGGAACACTTCGCACATCTACCCAGTGAGGCAGGTGCGTAGGAGCAGGATGAATGGATCCGAAGTAGCAACTAAAAAATCCCTAGACAATGAGCCTGATGAAGGTCTAGCAAACAAAAAAACAAATAGTTTATTGCAAATTAGATTGTGTCCAGGTTAAGAAATATTTAGTTGTTATTGTATATTGTTTTTTTTTTTTGTTCTCCTAGATATCCATGGTTCTACTGCTGTAATTTCACAAACCCTTCTTTAAGTCAATACTATGATTTAAATTTAATCAGTAATTAACACCTGATTTTTTTTCAGTTTAATTGAGGTCTCAGGAAGTATTTGGGAATGTTGTGACTTCTTCACATAACGTTATATTATATTTTAGAGGTGCTAATCTAAAAAATAAATAAAATTAAAAAAAAAACCCACCACTGAACTTTTTCAACTCTCCTTTCATGTAGAAAACACGTCTGGAAGGCAGTCCCAGACACTGATTGCGTAATAAACTGCTGCCTTAGTAAATCACACACTAATTACACACAGATTGTGGAAGCACAAATTGAATGAAAGGATGCAGCCCAAATTCCGTCTGTGCTTTTATGTACGTAAATCAGGCACTTCCACCAACAGACACATCACGCACATGCTCTCTCGTCTATTCCTCTCGTTCTGTCGCACACAGAGAGCCCTGCCCAGTGGCAGTGCAAATCTTACTGCAGATAACATCATGTAGTGCTAAGTAGTGCTAACAAGGCAGCCTGTTGTTGTCAGCATATTAACTGTCCCTAATACATTATCATGGGAGATCATATGCTTCTGTCTGCTATCCAGGTCTCAAATGTGCAAAAAAAAAGTCTATTGTAACAAAGAATAAATCTTCACTCCAGACATATAATTTACCAAGATCATACTTGTCTGTGGGAGAGCAGGAAAAACATTTACTACTCCACCGTGGTGGTATTTGTGGTTGGGGGCTCTTGAGACATAATTATCCTTTCAGTTTGAGACGTCTGAGATGAGGAAGTAAACTCAGGAAAATTGCCCTGTCTTCTCCAGCTCTCACAAAAGCTCGGGGGCTCTAAAAACCCTGTTTTATGATATGACAAACAATTCTGCCATCAAGTTCTTAAACTTTGCCATCTTGGAATTTATTCATTATTTTTGTAGAGTTAAAAACTGAAAGCCTAAATATCTCATGAGTTGAGTTGGGGATGTGGGGGAGAGGGTGGGAAAAATTTGAAATTGAATTTTGGTTTTTACTCTTAGTTCATTTATACTTTCACATTAATTCAACCGAGTACTCCGATTTCTGGTCTTAATTTATTTAGTCCTTCATCAAAAGTATTTGTCATTGGTCGAGCAGTATATACTGTGTAGTCACTGAGAAAGTATGGGGTTGTAATAGGTGTGAGGACAAAGCTGTGACACGACACAAAATTGGAAAGAAGAGAAAAATCAGCCTTAAAGCAAATAAAATGGAGGCAAATAAAAGGCAGAATATCTCACTTTTAAACAAAGTGACCATTTGTGAACTTGTTTCACTCTTAACAGAAGAAATTCTTGTCCAGGTCAGACTTTAATGTTAAGTAGAGTTTACTTGACATTTATGCTAATATAAAGATGTCTCAACTATGGTGAGCTTGCATGGCCAATGTTAAAGTTAAAATCTTATCAGTTTACCTTAAACATTAGCGACACTTCTCAATGGGCGGGACTGGCATACGATGCTCCCAGGATGACAAAATTAATGGTTAAACTGATGTGTCATATAGATTATAGTGCTCTCAGCTGGCGTGCTGGCAGCTGGCGATACAGTGATGTAATTTCCAATGAACATGATCAAAGGAAAGTGTAAAACTCCAGTATTGAATTATCTCCTTTAAATGATCTAACGGCACATCTCCTCAGAGATAACATCATTTTCCTCTGCCAAAAGCTCTCTATATGTCTATTTTATATACTCTTAGATGAGCGTACGTGTCATTTTCCTGTGGTTTTGTCATTTTTGCATCTTGTGCCAGTATCTTATGGCACCAGCAAGAGTGAGAACCATGGGATTTTGACAAAAAAATAAATAAATCCAGACGTCATAGCACACAGTTTGCTTTCACTTTGTCTTATCTGATTGTGTCTAAATGCACGATGGGACTGGTCTTGCTGTCCTGCTGGGTTCCTCACTAAAACACTGTGCCCTAAATTGTCCTAGATTAGGACGAAGTTCAAAATACCTGATTAGAATATCAATCTGCATCAAACTAAAGAGGTCTGTTTGAAGAGATATTCTTTTTGCAAATTACAATACATGTTCAAGATGGCATTGCTGCAAGAATTCAGACATCTCCCAGTGGGGAAATAAAAATCTATACTGTAGACTGGTACATAAAGGAGACAACAGAATTTTTACTCAGTGCAAACCGGATTCACAGAGCAGGTGTGAAGAAATCGAGAAAATGCATGTTCGCCATCACAAGCGATGCACTGAATGTGTGAGAAACAACAGTCACAAAATGGAAAGGGAAAGGGAAGATTAATCTCAGTGTGTCTGGCGATGATGTGGTGATGAAAAACCCTGAAAATTATTTTTTTCTCATGACCTTGAGTCAAGATCTTCAAAAGACTTGTCACTGGCTGTGTCTCTCATCTCTTAACATTTCTTTGTAAAGAACACAGAGCACAATAGGAAAGAAACTGCTTGCACTCCTTTTAAAAGAAATTATTGATTGCATCCATTTCTCTCTCTCTCTCTCTCTCTCTCTCTCTCTCTCTCTCCTCCTCGCAGCTCCTTCCAGACTGATGACGATGATGAGGTGTCTAACAAGACGTGGGTGCTGACTCCCAAAGTGTACGAGAGTGACGTCACACACATCCTAAATAGCCTACTAGATGGATATGACAACAAACTCAGACCTGACATTGGAGGTGGGCGCTGATTTTTAACAGATGATCCGTTTAGTCACAGAATCACAAAGAAACACAACCCACGATTATGGGCAACATTTGCCCAAAATCTGTGCATAAATGGCACTTAGGAATACTGAAACAGCCGCTTCTCCATAGCTGCCATTAGTCCCTCCATCATAGGATGCTGATTGGTCTAAAGCACTGCGGTTTGGCCACAAGCGAATGGCTTGAAGCATTACTTGATTGGCTGGATGTTGCTTGGATTTGAGACAGAATCTACTGCCTATCCTGGATGTTGACACGGAATTTTTTACTCAAATTTTGGGATCTGAATTTGGCCTGTTGAATTTGAACAACTTGAATATCTATGCTTTGAATTTTTCATTCTGAATGAAATTCACTGGCTTTACAATTTCAAAATCTGGGGGGACAGATCTACTTCCATAGAAGCCTGGAAAGCCTCGTGAGAACTCCAGCTGCCTTGCCAGGTTAGACTAGATCATCACCTGTAGGTAGTTAACATCGATGCTGCTAGTTACTTGCAAAAGGGCCAAAACGAAATGTGTTTGTTTTGGATTCGAAACTGGATTAAGATTTGATCAAATGCTCCACACCACCCTAGTCACAGGAATGGTACATCTGATCTGTTTGCTATTAAATGTTATGTTTGGTTTGTTTGAAAGTGACATTTTGAAAAGCATTCATCATTTATGTAAATCTGAGGACACAAAACGCAAAGTGTAGGATTTAGACTGGACTTGGGACTGCACAGCTGAGACTTCCTCACGACCTGCTCCACCTCTGGTGGTAGCTGGTGATAATGTTAGTCATGCCATCTGATGCATATTTTAATATTACTGCTGCACATAGTAAAGTAAAAAAAAAAAAAAAAGGAAAAAAATGACAGAAGGCCGGCCGCACAGTAGCTGGATGCCCCCTGCAGAGATTTAATATACACAGCATACAGCTCATTATTACACTGGGCAGCACAATGTGTCTGCCACTGTCCATTCTATGTGTGTGTGTGCATGTGTGTGTTTGTGCTGCGTGTTGACAGGCAGCCAGGCTTATTATAAAGTGTGTGTACCTGTGTTTACGGACATGCATGTGCGACGGTCGGAATAGCAGTCTGTCAGAGTCCTGCAAGCCTTCTCTTTTCAATGTAGACAAGTAGCTTACTCCCTTCACTTTGACAGACAGCTGGGCAGGGCTCCCTTGTCTACACAAGTGCACATATATCTTAAAGCCTGTCACGTCCAACTGCAAGGCGTAGAGTGCGGAGATGTTCGGTATCCCTGAATACTTGATTTCGTGGATCGGTGTTCCTGGGAAAACTGGTTTAAGTCAGAATCTGTCGCATACTCTTAGAGAATGATAAAGATGTACCACTCTGTATGCTCAAAGTGAATTGCCTCTCCATCGACTGTAGTGCTCATGCTGGACCGGGGGACACCGGCTAGTGCTGTATTCGAGCTGCAAACGTCGAGGGTAATTCTCCCTCGGTCTTATCAGCCTATATCAGAGAGTTACAGTTGAGACATTTTACATTTGTCTTGTTTGCCTAAATTAAATTTGGTGTCTTGTGGTAGGGTATACCCACGGGAAGAGAGAAATGTACAACCTGGACCCTAAAGCGCAGCAGAAAATGTTAACACCTTTTCTGGTATCTGTGCCAGAACAAGTGAACACACACAGATGAGCCACCTTAAAATGGTAACGTTCTGTGCAGTTAATGTTACAGGATCTCGGAGGATTAAATGTGTTTATGAGCCACCAGCGTGCAAACTTTCCATATGAAGCTTCTTTTTCTGTTGTTGTTTTGTTTTTTCCTGTTTTCTACTAGTTTGGAAAACACTGTGGTTTTCTCCACTGTTCACTCCACTGCTGCCTTAAGGACAGTAGTATATGTATTCATGTATTAATGCGGTTCCCCTCAGATTCCAGCCCCCTCTGACCTAATGCAGCTTTAAAGCATTAACCAATGAACTGACTGAAATGATGGCACAAGATGAAAGCAGCTGAGTAACAGGGGTGTATATAGTAAATCCCTCACACTCAACTGCTTCCATGGTTTTTTCCCATATACTGTACAATGTGTGCAATGCGACACATAAATGTGACACATTTCGCGAAGGGCATCATCTTTATTCTTTCGACTTCAGAAGTGGGCTTTTGCTGTAAATTGAGGAGCAGTTCAGATCTGCTTTGAGGTGCAGCTTCAACCCGGAGAGCTGCTGCGTAGCCGGGCGGCTGGCTGCCACCGTCTTAACCATCATCTTCAAACGCGCTATGATCTCGCTCCTTCAGCGTTGGTCCTCCAGCTGCTGCCAAGTTACACAGCTACAGAGGGGTTATAATTAGCTGGCTATACTGTCATCTGAGCCACTAACCAATCAACCAACCGACCGACCAAACCAAAGGCGAGGCGAAGTTTCTCCTCCGCTCCTCAGAGCACTGAAATGCTGCGGATTTAGATTCATCGCTGATTGTGCCACGGTTCCCCTTTGAAGTCCATTGTGGTGCTCATTTATTTTTAATGCCCCTGCAGTCTACTCTACTGTACATATGAAAACTGAAGCAAATGGAACTGGGACATTGAGAGAGAAGGAATTTGAAAATCCTTCATTCCTAATTCATAATAGACGTGGCATTGATCAAGGTCATTGCCTTCTAGAAAACAGACTGTTTCATAGCATTCACAAGGGCATACAGTTATTGTGCAGTGAGTTTAATGAATTTAACCAACAGGTTTAAGTGATTTGGTAATGCATGCCGATGCATTTGGTCACTTGGAGTCTGTGAGCTAATTTGATCAGCCTTTTACCAGAATGCCTGTGGTGGGTGTATTGGCATGTATTATGTTGTCTCAGACAGCAAGTTAGAGAATTGAGCACAGTCACTTTATGTTCACTGGCATGTTGCAGTGATGTTTCCTTGGCACCTGTTTGTGCATTAATGGGAGACGTACACTTTCCTGTTGGCTGTATTAAATAAGATAATTCATTTTGTCTATATCTTCTAATTATGTTGTGCCCACGACGTTATATGTGATTTTGCTAATAATCCAATCCAGGGTTATATATTTTGTGCACTGGATTTTCAGTCTTTATTATTTCTAATGACGCCAGTGTAATAACATGCAGTATTATTCATAGCCTCAGATATCTGGCCAAAAGCAACACCTAATTCTTGAGAACTATGTGAGAAGTTTAAGAGCGTTAAGAGCGTCATGTGTGATTACATGTGTATGTATGAGTTTGTTCATGCATGTGCATGTATGTGTGCGAGGGTGGGGGGTGGGGGTTGGGGGGGGATGCAATGTACATTCATGTATGCCTAGGAGTGACATGAAAAATGGATGCAAACCTGCACTCACTCCCTCTGTCTATCTCTCACACTCACTATAGCTTTCGCATCAAGGCTCGAGGCCGCGCGAGTCTTAACCTGACTCTGCTCTTAGACGTAATGTCCACTCATCCATAAACATGCACATTAGATAGCAGAAAGTGCAGAAGCTGATCCAGGCCCGGCGCAAGAAGATCTGACAGAGCATGGAGGTCCATTTGACACCAAGCTGTCCGGCTTCCTCAACCATACTCTGTTTGACATCTGGCCGTCCATCTCGCTAAACCGACACAGGCAGCAGACACCGAGAGGCGCAATGCATGGCGGTGGACAGATGTACACATGCAGGTGCACAAGCAGAGATAATTCATTTATATACAAAAAGGCATACATGCAGCGGATTGCCCATGCACAAGTTTCTTTAAAAGAAATTACCCTCAATTAAAACCTAGACATTTAATTGTTTCCGCTGTAGCTGCTGATCCAATGTTGCGCGGTGCATTTGTTTCCTGATCACTTTTTTGGGCTAAAAATTTGGAATTTTTCCTCAAATCTTGTCAAGTAAGAATATTTATGAAGCAATTTCAACCAACAAGTGCGTCTCTGTGTGAGAGCAAGGCGAACGCCGGCAGGTCTGTGAGAAAAGAGAGTAAATGATTCGCTATCAAGAGGAGCTCACAGGCCTCAAGCATGGAGGGACAGGAAGGGGGATGGATGGGATGTTGCACAGGGCACAAAGGTTTTCTGGTAAATGGGTCAGGAGTTTGGCCGTAAATACAGACAAAGTGCGCGGTTTATTGGCAGGAAGCCTGTTTGAGGAGGGAGTCTCATCGCAGACAAGGGAAAATCTGAGCTAGGATTCTATTTCATAAGCGCTATCCCATGTATCCTGAACCTGGTGAAGTCCTCATAAAGTAACACAGTGTTGTAAATGTAAAATGAGATCATTTGATTGAAGTAAATGATTGTATACAAGAGTCCAAACCTCCATCCCTGTTTTTTTCTTTGGGATGACTGTGTCTTTTGACAAAAAGATGAAATAGATGTCAATATGTTATGTCTATGAAAATCAATGTTTTCCTAAAGATCAAAATAGCAACATTGTTTTGTTTTTTTATATTTTTCATCATAAAAAGTATACTGACACATTATTCCAATATGTTATAAAACCACTAGGTTTGTACCGGTGTATTGGCTTGATATTTTGTGCAATATGAGACAGTTTACTACGTATTCCTTGAAGAGTCGGTTGTATTGTATTAAATATATATTGTTTGTCTCCATTAGAAGACCTTTGAAGCATTTTTTGCCCAGTGTTTATCTCTTCAGTGAACTTAAAGCCGACCGTAAGCAGGAAGTTCAGCACTTTGTTTTGCCTGTCTACCAAGGTGTTTAAGACAACATTTACTGTAATATGTTTATCTACTGACAACTACCTCAGCAGTGATCCTTTCCAGCACCTTTGTATCCACACATTCACAGGGGTGTTATTTTCCTATTCTTTAATGATGGTGATGATGATGATGATGATGATGATGATACAGACAAAACACCTTCCTAACTAACTTGTGTAAGTGCATGACAGATAATTCCTCATCTCCAAATTGGATTTCCCTGTGCTTCTTCGCAGTCAAACCGACAGTGATCCACACAGACATGTTTGTCAACAGCATCGGCCCAGTAAATGCCATCAATATGGTGAGTAATACTGGAATTTGATGTTAATTATGTGCCATTGTTGTTATTAATAGCCAGCCTGATAACTAAAGGAGGATATAACTATGTCCTTGGTTTGCCTTCATCCTCAGGGAGGTGAGAGTATAAAGATCCAGAGAGTAGCTCTCCTCTCTGGGGCTGGCAGGGATTCAGTGTCTTGCTCAAGCACACCTCAGCAGGGCAGATGCTTGCTGTCATGGCGGATCGCCTGCTGCACCTAATCACCATGCTGCCCCACTGCCCTTGTAGTGTAGCAGCACAATGCAGGTGTCAATCAGCTACTTAACTACCGCATTGGCCAGTGCACTACAGTGGATGAATGCGGCCCATCTCACGCATCTGACAGCATTAAACTAATCTAATATTGAATTAGAATACTGACTAACCGCCACGTTGCTCAGCACATGAGCCAGATTCTCAAAGCAGCATATTTGCAAATGGCTGTGTACGCGCTGGCAAATCTTGAGGTGTCCTTATGTCGTACTTGCCAAGACTTGCATCAGCTACAATCTGAGATGTCACCTGTAGAAGGCCTCTGCGGTTTGTTCAAAAAGATAAAACAATTTGTGATTTTTCCTTGGATCTGGTTTGATTTTTTAGATTTTTCTTTTAGGCTTTTTGATCATTTCTTTCTGTTGCTATTGTGTAATGGTTGCACTAAGTTTATTTCTCTTCACCAGCAGCATTGTTAGTTATTTATTTAAAGATTTGTGTTTGTTAAAATGTGCAAATTAACACTTTTTATTTCTTATAAATCCTTTATAAGAACAATGTATTTTTTAATACAACTAAAGCCAAGTCTGTGTAGCCTTTGTTATATTGCTAGTTCAAAGATCACATCAGTTTCAGCAAATTTGAGTGGGAGAAATGGTTATTTGTACATTGTCTGCTTCCAAAAAAAACATATTAGTGTATTCCTATTAATAAAAATCATTTTAAGTGTTGGAAATGCTGAATTTCAGCATCAGATTCACATAGGAAGACCTGTCTCCATCTTGCTTTTTAATTACGACTGGTAAAGTTACAAATAACACAACACAAACTGGAGTAGAATATGTAGCTGTCATGCTGCAGTGATGACTAAAATAGGGCAGGACTATGTATCTGATAGTGGTGAGGGAAATGGTTTGTAGGAGAGAAAGAAAGAATTATAAATTGACATCTTGCGAAAACTCACATCAGCATTGTTTTATGTGTCATTGTTTTTCCGTTGCACGTCCCCGCTGAGAACCCACTTCTATTGTAATTCCGCAGAGGAGTCTGGCTCTACATGGTGGTGGCGTTCCATTTCACTTAGTCTTAGCTAAAAACACCCACTCCCAATAACTGCAGTCACAGTGAAGCTGGAGGAGACTCATCGATGGGATCAGTTAGAGAATGCGTTTGTGCTCGCATTAGGAAGTCTGCTTGCATGGATGGGCGTGTGTGTGTGTGCGTGTGTGTGTGTGTGTGTGTGTGTGTGTGTGTGTGTGTGGCGAGGGCATTCTGATGACATGAAAGGTTGACTGATTGCTTCGCATTTATATGTAATCAGTATGGTCGGGCCAGTGTGTTTACACCATGACATGACAAATGTGGCGGAGTTGGTAGATTTTCTGAAGAGCAGAGACTGAGACTGATGGTGCGGGGGTGTGCTTCTGAGCATGAGCACAATTTTGAATTCTTAATTATGCGTTAGGAATCTTTGAAATATGGCAAAGTTGCAACTCGTGTGAGTGTGAGAGAGGGGGACAGTATGGGAGAGACTAATAAAGAAAGAAAAGAGAGAGAGAGAGAGATAGAGTGAAAGATCAAGGTTTAAAGAAAAAAAGGAATCAGAAATTGATGCTTTGTAGCCACTAGAGATGAGCAGCTCTTAGCTGTTCTTAGATGTGTGCAACTGTTTGAATTGAAAGAAGTGTGATTCTGTGATAGATCCCAGAGTATATATAGGTTAAAGAAAAAAAAATAAGATGTTTATCCCACTCAGCAGGGCCCAGATGAAGATCCTAAGGCATTCAATCTTTCTCTCATCACTGGATTTGAACTGTCTATCTGTCCTTTGTGAAAGAAATGATGCTGCAAGGATGGGAACATTGCCTAGTGAAAATGTCTTTCAAATCTCGTTTAGCACTCTTTGGCGTGGATTTTGGCTTTATTGTTGGGCTAAGCTTCGTCAAAAAGTTAATGCCTCTATGCCCTCTTGCTCACAAATCCCCAAGTTTTTTCTTTTTTTTTTCCTCTTGTGAACCTCAGGGCTCAACCCATTCCAACTTACAAAATAAATAAGAAAAACCGATAGCGCCTTCAGTCACTGCCTCTCCTTCCCCATCTCGCATTAGCATACATCTCACCTGCGCTCTTGGCTCAACTTCAACTCTGCCCGTGCCTCTGTCACCTATGTTTTCATCCCTCATGTGTATGTTATTACTCAGCTCTCACAAGGACTGAATGGGAGACAGAAGGTTTTGTTAGGCTCAGGACAAAGAGTCGCAGATATAGCAGGTTATGAGGTTAGACAATACTTGAGCCAAACAATAGGAATTATTAATTGCCTTGTTGAACATTTAATTTTCAGGCTGAGAATGTCAGGACGGTCTTTTTAAACAGAACTCTTTAGTAGTGACAAAAGGACTTCTTGGCCTGAATAGACACCATTTTATCATTGAGTTTCCACTGGCAGAGAAAAGCTCCCTTCAGACGAGAGAAACAGAGGAGTGCTGTTGGAGATCACATTTGCATCTCACATCTCATTGGTGACAGCACTGGTTCCAAACAATACTGTTTTACTTAAAACATAAGAATTTGGGGTGAAACTGTGTTTTATCTGTCGTCAGGAATACACCATCGACATCTTTTTTGCCCAGACCTGGTATGACAGAAGATTAAAATTCAACAGCACGATGAAGGTTCTGCGTCTCAACAGCAACATGGTCGGGAAGATCTGGATCCCGGACACTTTTTTCCGCAACTCGAAGAAGGCCGACGCTCACTGGATCACCACACCCAATCGCATGCTTCGAATCTGGAATGATGGTCGAATACTCTACACCCTCAGGTAAAACATCATGGATGCCTGGTATGAGATATTAGCAACAGCGATGATTCTCATTTATTTGTGACTCATGGCTTGATTGACTGTACGACTGAGTGGTTGTATTGTCCAAATTACCAGTTGTCACTACGATCACATTGAAAGATTAAATCGTTAGTAGTCATTATCTCTGCAATTTTGCATTCTGTTTTACTGCTGGTTTGTCTGATCCAAAACATAAAAGAAAATGCTTCTGATTACATATTTTGTGGGGGAAAAAAAAGCTTCTTTCTCTGTAAGAATGATAGCTGATAGATAATGGAGAGTTCAAGATCTATTTACATTCTAGTGCTGTCAACTGAACAAAGCAGAAAACAATAGATAGGAGTGAAAATACTGTACTGTAGTCTTGTCTAAAAAAAAAAAAAAAAAAGGTCAAAGCTGGAGTAACAGCTCATTTATGCTCCCTTAAACTACAAGGATATATACGACCATTTCAAAGGACATAACTGTCACTACCCACATACTTCAATGCCTCAATTACATTGGCATGGATGTTAGACAATACATTCACAAGGGGGCAGCTCAGAGTCAAATGATTCTGACAACAACAAACGCGGTGATGGTGGAGGAAGTCGTAATGGTTTACCTTTTAAGAAAGAGGCAAAAGGGGAGGTGGCGGTGTAGACGGCGGTGGTCTGATAGGTCACTAAATAAATTGCTAAACCTCTTCAAAAACACTAAAAAACTTCAAAAAGTTACGCCATTTTTTAAAATGTTTTTGTCGTGTCCCACGGTGGTGTCTTGCTTGAACTATTGGTACATCCCTACGCGTTCAGAAAACATGCAGGAAATACAGACAAAATGAACGCAGAGTATGGACAGAATTCTCCGTTCACATCCGTATAAATATCCGAGCATCCGACATAAGCCGAGCATAAACTAATAACTGTGGCAGTGTTACATTTTACTTGTACTATTATAAGTTTTTTGCCACTAAAGCTGCTTCTTGCTCTTCCTGGAGTCCATCACAGCGAGCAACAAGCAAAGCGTGTACTATAGAAATCATTCTCAAGTACCCGACCGTTTACGGCCCCTCTACATAAATGATTTATGATACTGATTATCCTGAACAGGCCTGGGGCAGTCTTAAATTTCAGCATTTTAAAATTGACATTAATTAGCATGCAGGAAATCTGTCTTACCAAATGAGGCAGGAAGCTGTTATGTGACAAGGGAACACTGGAACTACATTGCCCTAAATGGATGCTTTAAGGTGCTCCTGCATAGAGATCACTTTCAAATTTTCCTTCCATATTCTTTCAGCGGTTTGAGTGTCTCGAAGTGCTCTGAAAGATTTTGTAATTAAACAAATACTACACTAATTATAAATACTGCTATATTGTCTAATGACCCATTCTTTCCTGAAGATCTGGAGACTGGAAGATTGCAGTAGGCCGACAGTCACTGCTCTGATGGGCTAGATTTACTGGATGATGGTCGCCTTTTTAGCTACACACTGTTTGTCAGGGCCAAACAGATAAGACTAACAAGAAATATGTGAGGTGTGTAAAACAGGAGGGTGGATTAAAGGGAAATATTAATTGTCCTTATTATTATGTTTTGTATGCCATCATAAATACAGTGGACGTTTATACCGACACCACAATATATCATCAGTGGTAATAAGAGAAAGTGAACTCCTCTGGACTCAATCAAGCCGTGATGGATGTTCTCCTGTGCAGAACACTACCCCTCCACTTCATTAATTTGTTAAGGAACTCTGAATTTAACCACTGGTTAATTAGGATGACCGCCGTGATTCGGAGGACAATGATACATGACAATAGCGAGTGCATGGATGGGTAAAGTCATTTAAGGTCATTCTCTCATTAAAGGGAAGTTTAATGACTTTGCCTTCAAACTCCCTCAAGTGTGAAAACAGGAGACGCGTGTGATGCTGTGAAAAACATCAATTTGGTGTAGGGAAATTTTAATTAATGATGCCTGGTGTTCATACTGATAAGGTTAGGGGTTTAATTCTGACTTTTCCAACACAATCTTTAGAGTAAACAAACTGCATTTGTAATAGACTGGTTGGAATATGTCTTCACACGTGCACACTTTACTATTTGTTGTTGTTTTTGTTTTTGTTTTTTATTACAGTAACTGAGTCAGTGGATCCAAATGTTGTGTCTCTGCAGGTTGACCATCGATGCCGAGTGCCAGCTTAAACTGAACAACTTCCCAATGGATGAGCACTCGTGTCCCCTGGAGTTTTCAAGCTGTAAGTTTGGCCATATGCTGATGCCCTACTGTCTTACCCCTCCCTCTATTCCTCTGTTCCATCTCAAAGACAGACAGACAGACAGACAGACAGACAGACAGACAGGCAGACAGACAGACAGACAGGCAGACAGACAGACAGACAGGCAGACAGACAGACAGACAGGCAGACAGACAGACAGACAGGCAGACAGACAGACAGACAGTCAGACAGACAGACAGACACACACACACACACACACGCACACGCACACGCACACACACACACACTATGGACATGAGGAAGCAACATATGAGCCTAACAAAGACATTAAAGGTACAATTACGCAACAGGCCAAACCAATGAATTCAAGCTGCAGTCGTCATAGTACTCATCTTTTTCACAGCACAAAAACAGCTGGATGAGTCATATGTGTATTCAGGTTTAACAGACTGGTGCACATATGAAAGTATATATGCAATTACAGTATGAACAGAATATGTTAGACAGTTCTACCAGTATGTATTCAGGCGACATAATATGAAAGATATGAACAACAAAAACATTTGTTAATCTATTCGTTCATTAATTCATAGTTGGCATTCAGTAAAGGGATTTAATAATGGATGTCTCATTTCCAACTCGACCAAAGGCAAAGAGGTGATTGATTTTCCTGCACTTTGTCAATACTGTTCGAAAAGACATTTCAAAAAGTGACACGAGTCCAAATGAGCCAGTGCCTCCGTGTGAGTATTGGGGGGGGGGCCAAGTTATGCTAATGAGGCTGCTATGGATCTACAGAGAGATGCACCATGGGATATTCTCTAGAGAGAATGCTTCCTAAATAGCTCCAGAGCAACAAGAAAGAGAAACCAGGGGGGTAGCAGGCCTAAAAATGGAACAGAGGCGTTCATTTAAATTTGATGAAAGCCATGGATGTTTTCAGAAGTTTGAAAATCGCTTGATGTACAGTACATGAGCTCAATCTCAGCAGCAGCAGGCGGGGCAGCGTGCAGCAATTCATCACGCGGCATATTTCCTCAACACGTGCCACAAAGCAAGAAAGCACGGTACATATTCCAGCGCAGCCTCTTCTGCAGTGGTTTTCGACTGTGTGGCTACATCACACTGCGTCCAGTTGGACATATACAGATAACGCATACCATTTCACTTCACGATCATTTAAGTATCTCAAATACTGTTTCAACTGAACCAAGAATACAAATGAATTCATGACAATGAGCTCCAGAAACATTCCAAATTTCCAAACAAGACACTGAATCAATTATTTGTCCCGGACACATTGGCAGCGCAGGAGCAGACTGGCAAATGTGCCCCTGCTACTGTGAGGTCCAGCATTACTGGATGTCTGAGAGCACTTTACTCGTGAAGCCATTTAAAGTCTGCGCTGAGGAAAGTTCATGTGCATTATTCAGGCCACTCCCTCGTTGGCTACACACAGCGCACCGCTAGAGTGAAAAAGACACTAGACTGAAATCTAAAGAGAACTGGCAGAAGACTTTAACACCTGTGCTGAGGTGAACATTTAGTCACATCCATTCACACGATAAGGAGCCCATTTCTAAATGCAACTTATCATTTGTTTAAAATATGCTTATCTGTACCTGTTTTCAACTTTAGCTCCAAGGCAGAAATTCAGTAGCAAAGAATATGATTTGATTATGAAAATGCATCTGCTCATAAGTGAATCAGTATCAGACAAGTGTGATTACTGCTGTGTCTCTCCCGACTGGAGAGCCAGCCTCTTGATGTAATAAAACTGCTGAAATCCGACTCATAGCCAGCCGCGCATCACACTTGTAATCTTTGCTTTTAAATTTTTCTGAAAAAAGATTTTTTTTTTTCTCCCCACAGTTGGATGAGATGCTTTGTCAACATTTTGTGCAGGAGTTTATTATATAACGGTTCTTTCATGAATCAGTTTATTTGCAAGATAGCCCCCACTTGAGCTGGGTATGGATTACTCTGAAATAAAACAGGCTGCTCCATGTTTCATATTGAACAGCCTTGCACCGGGTTGTTTTATATAGCAAAGAGCATATCTAAGCAGTCTTAAGATATTTCCGAAAAGGGAGGAATATCGGTCTTTGAAAAGCACTGTGTCATTTTATTTTATTTTTTTCACCGAGCCTCTCTCCTCTGAGTTTCAGCTAAGCTCCATGTCATGCTAACTCTGTTCTCTCTTGTTCAGATGGCTACCCCAGGGAGGAGATTGTGTACAAGTGGAAAAGGAGCTCAGTGGAGGTCGGGGACATTCGCTCCTGGAGGCTCTACCAGTTCTCCTTTGTCGGCCTGAGGAACACCTCTGAGATTGTCAGGACTGTCTCAGGTAAGAAAATATTAATATGCAAAATGTGTGTGTGACAGAAGTGATTTGTTGGTCTGCGACAGAATGGGGATTCCATTGATGCTGCACCACTCAACATTCATGTTTTAATAGCCACGATACACTTTTTAATCTGATGCAGGCAGGAGCGTGCAGGCAGCATCATCCTCATGTAATGAATATAGCGAAATTTCATATATAAAACTATGCAGAGCATAATAATGATTATTGTCATTATCAGGCTTAACCATGCATGCCATTGCTTCTAAATACGTAATCAAATAAAGTTATCCTGCCTGTTCCAAGTCTGATCTGTAAACAGTCACTGTTGCTCTGGTTCATATTTACAACATGACATGATGGGTAATGTTTTTATTCATGTTTGGTTCTCACTGCCTCAAGTGAAATCCATAAGGATACAGAGACATTTTCAATTGAAAAGTGTCTTGCTGACAGAGCGAGATAACACATTTATAACAGCTATGGACTTACTGTAAGAACTATGGCCATTGCTCACTCAGTGCATGCGCTTGAACTTTCTGAGTCTTCTTCATTTTACGTGCGCAAACATTTTTTTTTTATTTTTATTGCTCCTCCAGGCGATGGTGCTCCACACTTGAGAGACGGAAAAATATTTTTTTCATTAGACTCAAACTGATGGTTCAAATTGAGATCATTTAAAAGGCAATCATTTTGAATGTGTGGGACAATTGTGACATTTTATCCTTAGTTTTATAGCCACTGCTTTCATAATGGATATGTATTGAACTCTTTCTGAGCCAGGCGGCAACATGACATTTAGTGCAGTCTGTGGCCTCTCCTCCACAATTGTGCTGTGTTGCAAAATGCAGAAAATCACAGCATATGTTATTGTAAAACACCACTAAATAGTGGAATAGTGATTGTAGTTAATACTATTATCATAATTTGTCACGTGTCCATCTTCTTTTCTGCTCCATATTTTCTTCTATCCTAAAGATTAAAAAGTTGCTAATCTATTATATCTGAGTCAACTGCCCTTCATGGCATTATCTAACAAGGGTGGATGACCTTAGAGAAGAATTAAATAACACAGATGAAGAACATGTGCATCACACACACACCGTTTTCATGGTGTACTGGCTGGATTCCGTTCAGAAAAGATGCATGAATATAAATGGTTTGCTTGAGGAAGAACAGCTGCTTTCCCTGGACAGTGCTGATGTTTCAGAGAAGGGCCAAAACTGTGTTTGCACGCACATTCTTGTTTGTTTATGTTTATATTCATGAGATGTCAGGAAGTAATGTACAGTATGCGATGTTCTGCGAGGAAATGTATGTTCTCTTCATGCTTGAATCAAAGAAAGCCTGCTGCAGAGACTAACGCTGGCCAGAGGAGGATTCATTCTCATTAGATGAGCTGCATTATTCAGAGGAACCGACTGAAATTTTTAAAATAATGGTCTCCTATGTATCTATAAGTAAAAGGTCTCCTAAGAAGTCATACCATTTAAATGATCAAAAGGAAATACAGGCATTTTAGCATTTATTTGACTACATGAAAAATAAAATGTTTCCCTAACAACGTCAAGGTTGCAGTCTTTATGAGGTGCCTGTGAAGATTCTCAGTCATCCAGGTCATGGTTACCGAAGAGGAGCTGAGTGGAGGGCAACTGGACTTAGTTGAAGACACTTGAAGTCAGTCAGAGGTGAAGAAGCCTCTCGGATGAGAGGTGAAACTTCTTCAAGTACCTACAACCAAGTCCAGTCGCCCTCCATTCAACTCTTCTTGGATAACCTTCTCATGAGATATTCAATTATCTGTTATGTATGAGTATTGATCGAGGGAAGATGGAAGTTTTCTGGCTGTTCTCCATCTGTTTAGAATATACTGCAGGCTGTGAGGCTGCAGAGAGGAAAGTCATTGTGTCAGGCATGTGGCAGTAGGGTCATTATCCTCGCTATCATTTGCAGATCAGCATGTCTCGTCATTTATAGGCTAGTGGTATACTGCTTCCCTTTCACAATAAGAGCCCGGCCTGTCTTGTGAGACCACAATGCTGTTTAGGTGAGAATGCTGTTCTGTTCTGTATGTGCATGTACATGAATGTTCAGCTTTCTTTAAATGTGGATATGCTACCATTTGGTAGCGGTGGAGCTAATGAGCTGTGCTCTCCCTGTGATGTAAGTTGGAGGTAATATTGTGTTTGGAGTGTCTGCTGAGAGTGTAATAGCTGTTATCCAGTGCTCAAAACTATGACAAAACAACATGAAACTAGGAATATTTGACCACAGTTCAGTTTTGATTTAGTTCAAATATTGGCCCGTGCAATGAAGTTTATTATTTGTTTTTTTTTTATTATTATTATTTCAAGTAAAATTTTAACTAAATGTATCAGATACACAGAATTAGAAAATGCTCCGCTTTCAGTGAAGGCCAACAAACCAAGCTCTATCAGTAATACAGAGAAACACACTTGTATGCACAAAGTAGCCATGGCAGTAACTGAATTCACCCAGTCGTTCTGTAATTCGCCACAGTTCAGTGTGTGTCACTGCAGCGTAATGCTCACACATACACAGCAAGAGAGAGTGCTTTTGTCGGTACACCAATGTTGCAAGAGCAAATTTTTTGTCTGGACTGGTGCAAGATGATTAAAATGAATAGGAACTGCTTGTAAATGTTTAGTTTTTTTTTTTTTCGTGTTTTAATCAAAACATTTTTCAAGTGACAACATAAAAAGGCGATATGTGTAGGTGGATGAGCTGTAGTGGAGAATTTGCAGCGTCCTCTGACTCTCTCTCTCTCTCTGTTCTGGTTCGTTATTTCCACAAACAGCCATCTGCTCTCTTGTCAGAGCAGAGAACCTTGACTGTGGCTGTGAGACCTCTTGTCTCATTTTGCAGTCAGTTTGGGTATCTGACCTGCTTCAAGATTCATGAGCACAACATCTGTCTCATAAAGCAGTCAGTTTGGGCCTTATAATTAGCCAGTCATCTCAAGTATTCGCCATGCAGCGGGCAGTAGTTGCTCCTGAAAGGTGTGTAAGAATATGCTGTGTCATCGGCAGCTCCTTTTATGCAGTATGAATGTAGTGAAACATTATATCAATAAACAATTGTACTAGTGGATTATGTGTCTGCTTTACTTTTTTGATCGCTGATCACATGATAAATCCATTATTTGACAGTAGAATTGAGCTAAAGCTGCTTTTGAACTGAATGTGTATTGATACTATTGCATTTAATCTCTCTGCAGTAAATTCAGTAAAAAAAAAAAAAAAAAATGCAGTCATGCTTTCAAGTTGGCTTTTTAAATTTCATCCTCTGGTATCCGTATTTTTCCGTATTTCATTTTCATTTTAGTGAAATGTGCATTCAAATTTACAGAAATATGTTGAACTGTTATAATTTATCATATCTGCTGCTATGATAAGTTTTGTTTCCTCATTTTAATCCTGTTATATGATGCAGTTATACCTGTGTAGGGATGCTTGGTCATTATACTGCTGCCATGTTGACTTTCTGGTCGCAGGGAGCTGTAGATTGTATTGTGGTGAGCAGCAAGACTTGTCCTCCAACCAACCAGACAACCCTAGGGTCAAGCTTTTATTTCAGCATCTGCTGTTGTGTTACCGTGCTGCATTGTCCATGAGCAAGACACTCCTGCATGGATGGACACCCTGTCAGCTAAAGGGGTTGTGTGTCTTTGTCCCGCCTGGAAGGTTATTGTTCGTGACAGTTATTCTGTTAAAAATCTTTTGACATTATTTCCATTGAAGCACGATGCATATAATCAACATCAGTTAAACTGACTTGAAATGGGTTCAGGTGAGGCAACGGAGGAGCGAGTAATGGTAAGCTAAGCAGACAGGCGGCCAGGTGAATTGGCCTGATCCGGACAATGATGACTGTAGCAAATAGCCAGAGGAAGAGATGCCCTCTCATTGTATCAGACAAGCCAGTCACGCCCAGGCTCAACTTGTCACAGTATTACTCTGCGGCATTCATGTATCTGTGCTTGAGTATTTTTTAGATAAAAAAAAAAGGATGATAAAAAGTGATGCATGATTAAAGAACGGCAGAGTGATATTGTAATAAAAAGGGGCTGGGGGGAGGAGGATGGGAGGGGTGACATGCCATCTGCTGCTCTGATGCAGCTGTGTTGTAGCTTTTTATAAAGGCTATGTCTGTTTTTATTTGGTTTTTCTTCCCTCCCTCAGCCAGTGTCCAAAGGCTTAGTCTCTCAACATGTCACTTCACATCAGGGCTGCCTGTGCTGCCTGGAAGCCTATACCTGCATTTACAAACACAGACACGCGCACACATTTGTATGCACGCACACACACTCTCAGGCCTGGAATTAAAAGAAGAAAAAAAAAAGAGAAAACAAAAAAACACTGCTGCTTATGACAAGCAAGGACCCCTTGAAAGGACACCAGTGGACAGAATGGATAGAAGCGAAAAGAGATTTGAATTTAGGACAGCCAAGGCGCTAGGTACACCGCTAACGTTGCTGTTAAGTTAACTTCAAAGTTAAACCCTCGGTGGCTGGGTTAAGCTTGATGCTGGGAGCTGTGTTCTCACCCATCTGCCAGGCTGGAGTTCAGAGATGATCAGAACATCACAGTACAGACAGGGACAGAGAGGAAATCAAGAGAAAGGAGGGGAGGGAAGAGGAGGAGTGGATGAATGATAGAAAACAGTGTGGGGGGGGGGGGGGGGGGGCCAGTGACAGAATGGATAGAAGCGAAAAGAGATTTGATTTAGGACAGCCAAGGCGCTAGGTACACGCTAACGTTGCTGTTAAGTTAACTTCAAAAGTTAAACCCTCGGTGGCTGGGTTAAGCTTGATGCTGGGAGCTGTGTTCTCACCCATCTGCCAGGCTGGAGTTCAGAGATGATCAGAACATCACAGTACAGACAGGGACAGAGAGGAAATCAAGAGAAAGGAGGGGAGGGAAGAGGAGGAGTGGATGAATGATAGAAACATGTGTGGGGGGGGGGGGGTGGTAAAATGGAAA